AAAAAAAAAAAAAAAGAAAGGAAGTTTTTCGCCGAGGCTGGGTTTGAACCCATCTCCAGCATATGGCCGACACCCTACTCTTTTGAGCCACAGGCGCCGCCCACGGTCCATAGGCTTTTATTCTACATATCCAAGTTATGTGAGTATCAGATAGCCACAGAGCTAGCCTTTGTTAGCCTGGATTCGTCAGCTGGGTGTTTTAGATTACAAGCACAGAGATGTACTCACATTACCTGGATAATTTGAGAAAAGGGAGAAATGTAAAACCAGCCATCAAGGAAAGAAATAAAGACAGAAAAAAAGCCTCAACCACAACAAAGCCAAGGCTTAGAGAAAACTGAAGGACTTTTAGGGAACTTAGCACAGTTCTACCTGGTTGGAAAAGACAGAAAGGAATATGCATTTTTTTAAAGCATGTAAGATGGTTCTAAAATATTAAAAAACAAGAATTGATATGAATGGGTATTGAACATTTCATGTGGACACATGTCAATCTTTGCATATTCTCTGATGACTATTTTTCTGTCTCCCTAGACACCCTAGTGATGATAATAAATGCCACAGATGCTGATGAACCAAACCATATAAATTCTAAAATCGCCTTCAGAATTCTCTCTCAGGAACCTGCAGGCACGCCCATGTTCCTCCTAAGCCGAAACACTGGGGAGATCCGCACTTTGACCAGTTCTCTCGACCGAGAGGTACAAGGCATTTGGGAAACACTTATAATACAGGGTTTGTAGGAAAGCCAACTCCACTGTACCTGATAATAAAAGAAGAGAAACGAGGGTCCCGGTACTCAACCGGGCCAATCCAGGGAAACTATTTCCCTTCTTCAGTCTAATTTCGGCGAGGTGGGATGTGTACCAGGCAGGTGCGCAATCAGCTAAACACATCACTGGAAGCTGAAGCAGAGAAGTCAAAGCAAGCATCGGCCTTCATGGTCAAAGATGGCGCTGGGACTCATTCCCCATAAGCCAGAGGAAAAATGAGTTTCTTAACTGAGGGGAGAAATTTCTGTTTGGAATCAAGCCTGCTTTAACATCACACTTTTTCTCCCGACTTCTTTTACCTTTACCTGTTTCTAGAAGGCTAACGAATCCTCTTCCCCTTCTCTCTTCTCCTGGACACCTCCACCACCACCCTCCATGTCCATCACCACCAGCTTTCCTGGCAGACTCTGTATTACTTTTGTACCAAGGATTTTCCCAGTAGACAAACAGGGACGCTCTACTCATTGACCATTTTTGCTCTAAGTATACAGTATTGCTTTGCCATAAGAAGCTCACAAAAAAGACTGTGTTCTAGCCCCTTACAAATTTCCACTGACCTCCACAAACCTCTCCTCCATGAACTTGCATTATTTTCGGCTCCTTACCCATAGGAAGCAATTAGTTTCCATTCGGATTCTTGGAGGCTAATTACTTTCCTGTAATTTTTTTCTCCACATTTAGCAAGTTGGCAGCTATCACCTGGTTGTGAGTGGCGCAGACAAAGATGGAGAAGGGCTAGCGACCCGGTGCGAGTGCAGCATTAAAGTGAAAGATGTCAACGACAACTTCCCAATACTCAGAGACTCTCAGGTACACCTGCTGCTCCTGAAGGGGTTGTTTTAATATATATTAAATAATTGGCCATCCTCATTCAGTATCTGCTTATTCATTGTTTTTATTTAAGTTTGCTACACTTCTCTTTTTTTAAAAAAAATAAGCTTTTTTAAAATATAAGAATTCAATGACCAGCAAAGGGGCAATATATAATTTAAGAAGTAATGATTAATACCATTTAGAATAAAATATAATCCTTTTAGCACTGAGCCTTTTTTTAAATATTAAATCGTAACTGCGTACCTTCACGGGGTACAATGTGCTGGTCTGATAGACAATGAGGAATACTTCCATCAAACTGACTAACTAGCACTGAGTCTGAAATTCTGCTTCTCTCCTTTTCAGTATTCAGCACGTATTGAGGAAAATACTTTAAGTTCTGACTTGCTTCGATTTCACGTGACAGATTGGGACGAAGAGTATACGGACAATTGGCTTGCAGAGTTTTTCTTTACCTCTGGGAACGAAGGGAACTGGTTTGAAATACAGACGGATCCCAGAACGAATGAAGGCATTCTCACGGTTGTTAAGGTAAGGGCTGAGTTCCCTTCATTGGTTAAAAGTGCTATGTTAACCCAAACTGTCTTTTCTATGAATAAAAATTATTCATTTGTTTATTTATTTATTAATAAGGCCATTTCATGATAGAAAACATATCAAAGTAGAATTTTTTTTTAAAAAATCCCCTTCTTTCTTTCCAAGCTACTGTATCTTCTATAGTAAACACAAAGGTAACATCTCCTCACAGCTCCATTACCTAAAAACAATCTCTCGTAACATGTTGGTTTCTTTCTTTCCAAGCTATTGTATCTTCCACAGTAAACACAAACATACTTGGCCACTCTGGCTGTGTACACTTTCAGCACCTACTCCTGTGTTATGGGTACACATGCTTTAAGAACAAGAAAGCAAAACACATTTCTTAACTAATCTCACCCACTATGAGTTTAAGTTGGGTTGAAGTTAAGAAGAGATAAAAATATATGGAACTGCGGCTTACAAATTGATCAACTGGTTTTAGATGGATTAGCTACAGTCAACAAAGGAAAAAAAATTAAATTTTCCTAAAAAATAGAAATGTGTGAGTGAAATCTGCAAAATAAAAAAATAACTGAGTAGGCTCAGCACCTGTAGCTCAGCGGCTAGCATACCAGCCACATACACCGGAACTGGCAGGTTCGAATCCAGCCCGGGCCTGCCAAACAACTACAACAAAAAATAGCTGGGCGTTGTGGCAGGCACCTATAATCCCAGCTACTTGGGAGGCTGAGGCAAAAGAATCACTTAAAGCCCAAGAGTTTGAGGTTGCTGTGAGCTGTGATGCCACCGTGCTCTACAGAGGGTGACATAGTGAGGGTGTCTCAAAAAAAAAAAAAAAAACTTAGTAAAGCTTCTATTTAACATGCTTGGCTATGATAGACTCCTCATCTAGAAAAATATCAGGATACTTGAATACTTGCCTGAAAATGGTACAGACTAAAAGGAGTGGTTACACTACTCTGGCCTATTTCTTGACATAAAACTTTGAACTCTATGGGAGTTTCCTTCTTTAATTTCTTGAGTCCAGTGGAGGTATAGACCCATAATCTTCCCTTAACTAGGAAACAGCCATGCACACGGCTCCTTTTCACTCTGCATTTCCTCCATCCCGACTTGCAATCCCTCCCAATAGAAGTCTTACCTCCTCTCTTTTGACCTTGTTCTCCTCACTCTCACCTGTTCACTACCACCTTTAACTTTAAAGCAATTTGGAGCACTTACTCTTCTTTTTAAAACTTGCTCTGCCTCTTTATTGGCTGTGCAGTTGGTCCTCAACTCTGATTTCCCACTCAAATCACCTATAACTTTTCCTACTCATTGGAGATGAAGGAACTATTGGTTTGATTGGCCGAGAATGGAGAAGCCCAGGCAGCAGCAGTCTGCAGGCTCCTGGAATACGCTGTCAGGTTGCGAACCACCTGCTGGCCTTGGAGATGAAGCTCAGCCTCTTCCCAGTTGCACACAGGCTGTTCACCATCTGCACCAGCCCACTCCCTGTCACTTGCTGCACCTCTGGGCATCTGCGAGTGCATTCACCTGTGCCTGGATACCTTCTCAGGGTTCTTCCACACTCCGCTCGGATGAAAATCTCTCAGAGCATTTCCTATCTCCCCTGAGTAGAATTATTCCCTCACTTTCACACACAGACTCTCAAACCTCTTTTGTCTCTTACCTCTTGTGTTATAGTTACCTGTGTAGACGTCTTTCTCTTGCACTCTGCAGGGTAATGCTTGAGCACACAAAACCGGTCATTGCAGAGAGAAAACTTCAATCCAGATCTCTCACCTTCATTATTATCAGTAATATACAAATGTAATGAAAATAAGTATTTCCTTACCTTATTACCCTCAAAAAAAAGAAGAAGAAGAAAAGAATAGAAAAGAAAAAGAAAAAAACTAGTGAATGAATAAAAAAAAAAAAGCTATCCCAGAATTCCTCAGGCCTTGATTTTTGTTTGACCTCAGTAAGGGGAACAACCAATTGGGTCATGCAAGACCTGCAAATGGTTCTACAAAGAGCGGATGAGCCACCCAACTCACTGCTTACAGAGGTCTATTTGCCTACCAAGATTATTAAAATAGGTTGCCTGAGCCACGTAGGAATTTTTAAAGTCAGGAAAGAAGACGTTATTGCACATGAATCAATGAATATTCTGTGAATGACCATAGCTCTCAGTAATAGAAATGCTTTAAGGACCTTAGATGGTTCACTCCTCACTACATCTTGATCAAGTAAGATATTTCGTCAAAATCGGAAAGTTGAGGATAAGAGAAATTGAATCATTAGGCCCTGAGTCACACAAATACTTAGTAGAACTAGGACTCAAACCATGTTACTTTAGCAAATATAGTACACTTTCCACTGTACCTCCCAGCCTAAAGAGAATATAATGATATTTTACTAGTCGAAAAAGAGATATCCTGCTTTGTAAACACCAGCTGCCAAACTGAAATCTCATACGTTAACAATTCTAAACCTTTCTCTATCTCGACGTTATAATGATCTCTGAAACTGTGTTGCTATATAAAAACAAAGGGATCTGTTCCAAGCCTCTTAACATGAAGTGTTCTTGTCCTCTACTGGTTTTTGCAGGGTGGTATTTTGGTGATACTTCCTTTCTTCTCATTTTATTTTTACTCCAGGCCCTAGATTATGAACAACTACAAACCCTGCAATTGGGTATTGCTGTCAGAAACAAAGCTGCATTTCACCACTCGATAATTTCTAAATATCGAGTTCAGTCAACACCAGTTACAATTCAGGTAATAAATGTAAGAGAAGGAATTACATTTCGTCCCGCTTCCAAGACATTTACAGTGCAAAAAGTCACCAGTAGTAAAAAATTGGTGGATTATATCCTGGGAACCTATCAAGCCATTGATGAAGACACTAACAAAGCAGCTTCAAATGTCAAGTAAGACTATTTTTATGATATTACCTCTTCCTGTACTTTTCATCTATAAACTATTACAATCTAACACAACACAAAGACTATTACATGCTGAGAATAGAGATGCAAAGTTGACAAAAATAAGAAACCGAGTAACTCAAGACATGACCGGAAGCTAAATCCATTAGAATGTATTTCATCAGCCAGCTTGAGCCAGAATTGAGACCCCATCTGTATAGAAAAATTGAAAAATTAGCCTGGCATGGTGGCACATACCTGTAGTCCCAGGTATCTGAGAGGCCAAGGCAGAAAGATGGGTTGAGTACAGATGTTTGAGGTTGTAGGGGGCTGTGATAACACCACTGCACTCTAGCCTGGACAACAGAGTAAGACCCTGTCTCAAAAAAAGAAAAAGAAATACGTTGCATTGGGAGCAAAGATAACATAAGTATAAAATGTGGTAGAAGAATGCTTTAGGCTGTCAAGAGAGATTAGGAAAAATGAACCCCATTTAAACTTCGAGGTGAGCCTTATAAAACAGTGGAAGAAAACCAGAAGGGTTGTGTTTTAATGACATAAAACAGTATATACAATGACATAAATGCCTAAAATGTAAAAGCGCCATGCAAAATAATTGCTATTATTTTTCAAAGACATAGATGTTTTATTTTATTATGCAGAGTAGAATTTAAAAACCAGGCTCATATATACTTAAGGATTATAAAATATGACTTGTCCATACTATGTTAATTTTCTGTCACTTTTAATAAAAGCATTGTCTTACATTAAGTATAAATATGTTAAATATAAAATCATTTATAAATTTAAAATCATAAAATGTAAATATATCACATCCCATATTTGAAAAAACACTCTTTTTTTTTTCTGTTATAAAATAGATACATTATGGGACGTAACGATGGTGGTTTCCTAACGATTGATTCAAAAACTGCTCAGATCAAATTTGTTAAAAACTTGGATCGAGATTCTTCTTTCATAGTCAACAAAACAATCATAGCTGAGGTTCTGGCCATAGATGGTAAGAAAAATATTTGAATCCTCTTTAGAGAAATAGTATTCCAATTGACAGAGATAATTAGCGTAACAGTCTTGTCTCAAATCTGGAGCAGCTGAATCCAAGACAAAATACTGAGAATTTCAACTTCTTAGTGGAGTTTATCGTACCAGTGAATTCTCTGTTTTCTCCCCTTGGTTTGCTGTGGTTCAGGCATGAATTTTTTTGACCCACAGAAATTCCTGGGTGTGAGAGGATAGGTAAAATTTATAGAGAAAGGCCACCAGGGAAGCTGAGCCAAAATGTGAGAAGCTTTTATGAGATACCTATGAAACCTCACGTACTCACGTGATTGAATAGTAAATTGTCTTCTTCTGGAATACTTTAAAATAGTATTCATTAAATGTGTATATTTCCCCAACTATAAATTAATTTATGCTTAAGGGAATGAACGAGCACTCCCAATAAACAAACAAAAATCAAAAATATTACTATTGGGGAGAACAGAAAAAGCACTAACTGTAACAACAGAAATGACTCATAATCCCACCATAAAGAGGGTTTTTCTTTGATTGTTTTTGGATTGTCAGCATTTTAAAATTTTCTTCAATCAAAGTTTGCATCTTCAATAATAAAAATCATTTATCCCAAATGCTTTGGCTCAAGCTTTAGAAACAAAAATCTCTCACAGGCTGATTACAATTGAAATCAACACATTTGAGACAGATAATATTTTTGCGTTGATTTCATTGGTCATTAGCTGATATATCACCTTACAGGTTTTGATTGCAAGTCTATTAAATTACTAGTAAAGGCACCAGTAAGTTTGGTAACTTTAGATTTGTTTTTTACAAGATAGGATGACAACTTTTTATTTCTAAAATAGGAGATATGGTTTCTTATGAGAAGACACACAAACTCAGCTGCATAAAAGAGAAATGTACGAGATTCTCTCTTTTGTACATCTTCGTTCTGCATATTTCTTCAACTCTAAAATGTTATTCTTACAGAAACCACGGGTAAAACTTCTACAGGCACCGTCCGTGTTGAAATACCCCATTTCAGTGAAAATTGTCCAACAGCTGTCCTTGAAAAGGAAGCAGTTTGCAGTTCATCGCCGGTGGTCGTCTCGGTTAGAACCCTGGGAAATGTTAAATATACTGGTCCTTACACAATCACACTGGAGGAGACGCCTGTAAAGTTGCCAGCCGTGTGGAGTATCACGACACTCAACGGTGAGTAACAGGAAAGTTGCTTCCATGAACAAAAAAACACCTTCTTTATATTTGCAGAAGTATAAGAGAGCTCATTTGAGAGCAGAGAGTAATTCCCAAAAGTGATTAAAAAGATTCTTTGCAATGAAGCAGTTGTCCTTGCCTTATAAATTCTTCCTCTCTTCAGAAGAAAAAAGGAATGAAATTATATGTTAGTGTCATTTAACATTTTCTGGGTTTAATCATTTTTCAATTACTATTTGAAATATGTTCATCTCCATTTCCATATTGCCCAAAACATAGATTAGAGTCAGGAATCTCTTTTCTCACAGAACTGTCTAAATTCAAAATGCATACATTCTTCCCAACGGGGCAATCTGTAAGCACAAAGCATCGGAGAAGTCTGCCTGCCCAAGACTCGTAGGAAGTGCCACTGGAGGGTCACTAGTCAGGAACCTTGAGAGCTCACTTGGATGACTGAAATTTGTAAACCCATTAGCCAATGGGGAGGGGCTAATCTATCCTTCTTTTTTCCCTAAACTTTATTATACTCATTTTGCATGATCTATGTTTTCCTGAAGTCTCATGGAAATAACTCCAGATATCTTCATCCTCTCTAGGTTTCACAGCAAGCATCAGACCACTTAAAATCCTCTGTAAACCAGCTCACTTTCCCCCAGCTCTTTTCATCCTTGCTTCCTTTCACAAATGTGCTTTGAGGTGTCCTTCAGTCCTCAGCCTCAGCCATCGCCTGAGTTACCATAGGCAGCTTGTTCTCCAGAGCCATCACCCCTTGAGTCTTTCTGAACCCAGTGCAGAGACCTAGCTCCAAACTGCATGTAGCAGTTGGCTTCAAATGAGTTTACTGGTTGCGTGCCAATGAAGAGGCTGTAATGGAAAGATCAGAGAGGGCCCAGCTGTGGCACTGGACATATCCGCTCAGGGGAGGCTGGGCAAAGCAGTGGTGGTTGGACTGGGAGGGCAAGGCATGATGTCAAAGGGCATGGAGGGGTCAGAAATGATTCACACAGGACTGAAGCTTACGAGAGCAGCCACAGGGTCTCACTTAGAAAAGGGCCATGTAGCAACAGAGAATGGAGAACAATTTCTGCTCAGGAGTCAGAAAGGCAACAGGGAACCCTATATAGCAGGATGGGAGAGAACTGAGCTGAGCAGTTGAGGTAGCTGCAGCCAAAGTTGAAACTCAGGCGTGGTGAGTCAGACGTGGGAACAGAGAGTAAGGGGGAGACGTCCACTCAGGGGCCACACAAGCCTGGGGAGCAGTGCAGACATTCAGGAGAGTGGATAGGCCCCAGAAGAGGGAAATCTAGCATTTAAGGGACCCCCGCTTCCCATCCTCTTTAGCAGGAAAGGCAGGGAAGGACTAAGTGTCTTGTGTGAGAATAACAGGCCTGGAGGAGGATGAGAATGCAGCTGGCGTTGTTGGTGGTAACATTAGCTCTACCAACCAAAATAAGTAGTTCTAAGAGCTAAAGACATGGCTATGGTTTTAATGTGTCCCTCAAAGTTCATGTGTTGAAAACTGAATCCTCAATCAACAGTGTCCAGAGATGACACCATTAAGAGGTGACTAGTTCATGGGGGCTCTGTCCTCCTGGATAGATTCATGTCATTAACATGGGAGTGAGTCTGTCACTGTGAGAGCAGTTTGCTGTACAGGGGGGTCCGGGTGTCTCTTGCTCTCTCACACGCACTTGACCTTCCATCACAGGATGATGAAGGAAGAAGGCCCTCGTCAGCTCCTGGCACCCTGATCTTGGACTTCCCAGCCTCCAGAAGGGAGAGAAATGAATTTCTTTTTTCTAAAGACATTTCTTTTTTCCTTAATTAGGCTCAGGTGAGGTTCAAACTTGCCTCCCCCGACCTGAAGGGCCAGTGCTCTATCTATTGAGCTATGGTGTCCAGCTTGAATTCCTTTTTTTATAACTTATCCAGCCTGTGGTATTCTATTAGAGCCGCACAAAACAGACTGAGAGAGACCTCATGTTCTGCTAATGATCTGCGTGATTATTTCCCTACAGCTACCTCAGCACTCCTCAAAGCACAGCAACAGGTGTCTCCCGGAGTGTACAGAATCCCCCTGGTCATCACGGACAACGAGGACAATCGGTGTGAGACACCAGAGAGCCTGACCCTGGAAGTTTGTCAGTGTGACTACAGGGACACATGTGGAAAGTATGGCCCAATGACAGACCCTTACACCAAGGATAAACATGCAACTTCTGGGAGGCTGGGGCCTGCTGCCATTGGCCTGCTGCTGCTCGGTCTCCTGATGCTGCTCTGTGAGTACACAGCTGCTTTAGTCTCTGTGGGATGGGGTGTCCCCATCTGCAAAGGCCTCCACGCTGCCCCGATCATCTGTGCAATGAGGGAAGAATCGTTCTCCGTTGTTTTATGGGCAAAGCGAGGGAGAAATGGTATTTCTAGGAAGACTCTGAAATATTTAACTTGCTACCACCTATGTTAATATAGCAAAACAAGTCATGTATATCAGACTTTGAGAGAAAGTGCAAGATGGCTGGGCACATTGCTCATACCTGTAACCCTAGCTCTTGGGGAGGCCAAGGCAGGTGGATTGCTTGAACTTGGAGGGTTCGAGACCAGCCTGAGAAAGAGTGAGACTCCCCCTGTCTCTATTAAAAATAGACAAAAAATAGTGGGTGCCTGTAGTCCCAGCTCCTCAAGTAACTATGAGCTATGATATCATGGTACTCTAGCTTGGGCAACAGAGTGAGACTTTGTCTCGAAAAAAGAAAGGAAAAGAAAGGAAAGGGAAGGGAAAGGAAAAGGGGAAGGGGAAGGGGAACAGGAGGAAGGGGAAGGAAAGGGTACAGGTTAATCAAGAGGGGAAAAATAAATCATGAAGACTCTCTACACACCACCAGTATGTTCATGGCCAAAATTATGTCTTTATCCATGAGTCTGGCACTTTCTAGAATGTTTTTTCCATTTTCAGTCTCATGAGATTCTAAGATAAAAAGAGCACTCTGGTCCAATAAACTCAGGGAAAATGTAGAGGATGTGTCACAGGCTTTAAGCTGGATAATGCACACAGATAGAGCGTAGGGTGTGAGAAGTGCTTGTTTAACCCAGCATTTCCTCAAGACACGACCACCTAAATACGCATCCCCCTCACACTTGTCATGACTAAATTTATTTATTTTTTTTTTTTTGAGACAGAGCCTCAAGGTGTCCCCCTGGGTAGAGTGCCGTGGCATTACAGCTCACAGCAACCTCCAACTCCTGGGCTCAAGCGAGTCTCCTGCCTCCGCCTCCCAAGTAGCTGGGACCACAGGTGCCCGCCACAATGCCCGGCTATTTTTTTTTGGTTGCAGCCGTCATTGTTGTTTGGCGGGTCCGGGCTGGGGATTCCAACCCGCCACCTTAGGTGTACGTGGCTGGCGCCTTAGCCGGTTGAGCTATAGGCGCCGAGCCGACTAAATTTATTAAGCACATTCAGGAAAGCTATTCACAAGTATTATTTCTCAATAAAAGTAAAACTAATTTTACTCAACATATGGGTTTCCATGCAGTTCACAGACTTACGGAGGTCCAACTATATGGGAAAAAAATCATATCACAATAAAGCTGTATAGAAATGAGTACAAAAGGCTTCACAGAACAGGGGAATCATCCAACTGAGCCTTGAACAATGAGTAGAATGCTACTTATGTAAGTACAGAAAGAAGGAAGGGTGTTTCCAAAAAGTAACTGCATGAACCAACGCCAGAGAACACTTAGGATGCTTTAGAAATCACCAGCTGCGGAAAGCTGAAGCCAGGGGAAAGTGTGGAAAGAGAAGGCGGTGTGGAGAATGCATTGGGCCTAATTTGAAAGGGCTTATTACATACACGTGCAGTGGTGCTTGTACTTTAAACCTGTGAGAAAGGGGAGGTGCCACATGTATTTAAATAAGAGACTGATGTGATCATATTTGTATTTTAGAAAGATAACTCTGGTACGTGATGCATACTGTAAGTTAGGGGTCATAGTTAGAGCCATGACATGAGACTGGAAAAAGATAGGTGTGCTTGGCATTACAATGGCAGCTAAGAAGGACTGGAGAATAATTGCTGGGGTCTGAATGTATGCCTCCCCGCAAACTTCAACCCCAGGGCAGCAGTATTAAGAGGTGGAGTCTTTGAGAGATGTTCAGGTCATGATGGCATCAGTGCCTTTACAAAAAGAGGTTTGAGGAAGCCTGTGTGTCCCCTCTACCATGTAAGGACACATGGAAGGCCCTCAGTAGACACCACATCTTCCAGATGTTTGATCCTCAGCCTCCAGAACTGTAAGAAATGAATTTCTATTGCTTATAAATGACCTAGTCTGAGGTGTATTTGTTATATCAGTCTGAATAGACGAGAACAGAGTGATGGCCAGGGAGAGTGGATAAGCAGCCTAGATGATGCCCAAGAGTCTACATTTGGTACTGAATCGTTGTTGGTGTTATTAAATAAATTTAAAAGTATAAGAGGAAACACAGATGTATAGGGTGGCAATAATGAGTTTCCTTTGAAATGTGTTATTCTGAAGTGTGTAATATGTCCTGCAGGCTATTGTCCATTCGGGACTTAGGCTCAGAATGGCGGTCAGAATACGTTATTTCCACAGTAATATTGACTGTATGTTATTCTTCCATTTACAAAATGGAAGTTTTATGATAACAGAAAATAATTTTTTCAGACT